AAGGTGAACTGATGGAAACGCTCCATAGCAAAAACCACTGCTAGCATCTCTTTTCTATCGAGGCATAGCGTGATTCAGTGTCTGTTATGGCTCTGCTTGCATACGCTATTGGGCATCCCTTCTGCAGAAGTGCTGCACCAAGGCCAATGCCACTTGCATCACACTGCACAGTAAGTTCCTCTTTTGGATTGTAAAATGCAAAGATGGGTGCATCTATTACGATCTGTTTGACCTTGGCAAAGGCAGTTTCCTGTGTACGAGACCATTCCCATGCAACATCTGGTTTTGTCAGCTGTCGAATTGGCTCCAGGGTTTTGAACAGCCCTGGTAGGAACTTGGCAAGATAGTTCATGAATCCTACTAGCCTTTGCACCTCGTGCACATTTGCAGGTGCAGGCATGGTGGTCACAGCCGATACCTTTGCTGGGTTGGGTTTGAGCCCTTCATTGGTGATCATGTGGACCAGAAACAGTATTTCACTCGCACGAAACACTGATTTGTCCCTGTTGAGCTTGATGTTCTGGTCAGAGCATTGCTTAAATAGCTTTTCAAGCTTAGCATCATGATCTGTGACTGCTTCTTGTTGGGCTCCACCTGTCCCATAGAACAGAATGTCATCGTCCACACAAATCACTCCTGCCAATCCATCAAGTGCCTGTTGTAGCCTCCGCTGAAATATCTCTGAAGAAACACGTGCCAAAGGGCAAACGGCACCGGCGGTAACATCCAAAGGGCGTGTTAAATGTGGTCAAAATGCTTGAAGCTTCATCTAGCTTCAGTTGCCAAAATACTGAGCTCCTGTCTAATTTGCCAAATACCTTGGCATGGACCAGGTCAGGCAGGATGTCTTCGATGATTGGCAACTGATAGTGTTCACGTTTTAGTGCTTATTTGTTCAGTGGGTGAGGGTCGATGCATATTTGTAGTGCACTGTTCTTCTTCTCAGCAACCACCAACTGGCTGACCCACTGTGTTGGCTCATGCACTGCTGTAATGACTCCACTTTTCTCCGGTTGGTCGAGCTCATGTTTGACCTTGTCTTTGATTGCATGAGGCAGTGGTCTTGGGGGAAGAATGACGGGTGTGATATCATCTCTTGTTTGTAAGCTGTAACCCATGAGCTGTGTGAAAGTTCTCTCCATTCATGGTGATGAGCTTCATCCGCTGACTTGCCTTACTACCGAGCAGTGGTGTAAGGTCATCGTTGACGTGATGAATTCCAGAGAGTACTTCTTTCCCAGTTTGGGGTTGAGGAGTTTCAATCTGCAACCTCCCTCTGCCTCTACTGTTGTCTTGTTCCACATGAGAAACGTCTTTGGGCTCTCAGTGATAGTGTATGCAGTGCCCTGAAGGCATTTCTTGGGGAGCATATTGACACTGGCACCGCTGTCAATGTGGAAGTTGATGGTCTCTCCATCAAGGACCATCTGTGCATATATATCCTTGTTGGGCTGAACTGCGTTCACAAGTGTCACATCATAGATGTACTCGGTGCTTGAATCACTATCATAACGTTCTGTGTCAGCCCTTGCCAGCGAATGAACATTCTTTATGCGCCATACCTTGGCAAAGTGATTTTTTCTTCCACATGCCTTACATGTCCAACCATATGCTGGGCACTGTCGTCTGTCCCGGGGATGTGATTGGCCGCAAAACTTGCACATTTTTATGCGTTTTGAGCTTTTGGCCTGCCCCTTCCTTTTTTTCTGTCTGGGCTTTTGTTTTCTGGCTAGCCCTCTTTTTCGTTTCTTTGACTCTGTGCTTCGCCATTTGCTTGATTGGCATCTGTGCTTGGGTCTGGGTCAGCTGTGAATGCCTTGAGTTGAGACTCAGCTGTTTCCCTGCTTTTGCATATGTCTATGCATGTGGCAAGAGTCGGGTTACATTCACAAAAGTTGCTTGTTTTTGCAAGTGATTGGAGATTGGCCAAGAAAGTTTTAAAGGTATCACCCTGTTCTTGCTGTTGCTTGTTGAACAGGTACCGCTCATATGTCTCATTCACTTCTCCGATTGCGTATCTGGCGAAAGCTACGATTATCTTATCCAAATCTCTGCTGTCATTGTCGTCGGAGAACGTGAAGCTGTTGTATATCTCTAGTCCTTGTGGCCTGATTGAGTGAACAAACAAGGCTGTGCGGTAGTCTGGGGTCTGTTTGTGGAGCTATGTAACAACACTGTAGTTGCTCCACATCTGCTTCCATGTCTTCCACTTGTCTATGATCCCTCTGGCGACTTCCAAGGGCGGTGGTGGGCGAATACCGCTCACCGGTGTGGGCCGTTCACTGCTGCACCGACCTGTTCATGGTTCCGTGCATGTCGCTAATGTGGTTGTTACTGTGTTCATCGGCACCCAAACTGTCTGTATCTGCCCGCGTCTGGGAGTCTGAGGCGGCCTTTTGCGATCCATTCTGTCCGCTAGCCATTTCTGGTCACACTCCTGTGTCGTACAAGACACTTCAGAGGATTTTACGTGAAAATTACGGAAAAATAGGTGCTGACCGCTGCCACTATGTAACACAATCATGTGTCAATACTGAACGACGACGCATGTGTGTCACTTTATTGGTGTGCTCGAGCATCATGCTCCCTACTACTACAGAAGTGACCTTTAGCTACAAACCATCCAGGCTAGAGTGAACAATCCTAGCTCTTGAGCCTCAAACCAGGCTTGACTGAACCGTTTCCTCAAACTATCCAGTCTTTAGTGACCAATCCTTGCTCTGGTCTCAGCAACATGACCTGGCTGGTGGGTTTGAACCTCAAACCATCTAGGCTTGAGTGACTAAGCATAGCTTTCCTTATATAAGCTCATGGACTTGAGCCTCAAACTATCCAGGATTGAGTGACCAATCCTTGCTGTAGTCTCAGCACCATGAAGAAACAGGTGGACTCGAGCCTCAAACTATCCAGGATTGAGTGACCAGTCCTTGCTCTAGTCTCAGAACTATGAAGAAACAGGTGGACTTGAGCCTCAAACCATTCAGGCTCTATTGACCAATCCTAGGTCTTAAGCCCTTAACAAGGCTTGAGTCAACTTGAGACTTAGGGTGTTTTCAAAACAAGTGGATTTGGATTATATTTCAGTTTGCTGGTTCCAGTCAGAACTCGTACATTACTGTGAACGCTGCTTTAAAATGGCTGGCACAAAACAAAAGTCTGAGCCGAATCCACTTTTTTGGAAAGTGCCCTATAACCAGGACTGAGTGACCAATCTCTACTCACAGCAATATAAACAGGGTTGAGATTACTCAGCTTTTTAGCTGATTTCAGCTTTTTTGTTTTGGGTTTCAGCTTGTTTTCCTCATCACTGGCTGTGTACAAAGTATAGGAGATTTCACAGTTCAGCTTCTTTATGCCTTTTTCAGCTGTTTTCAGCTATTTTTATCATTGGTCAATCTGACCCCTGTATAAACCAGCAGGTGGACTTGAGCTTCCAATCATCTAGGCTTGAGTGACCAGTCCTAGCTCTTGAGCCTCTTACCAGGCTTGAGTTTAAATCGATTCTGATAACATCCAGGCTTGAGTGACCAATCCTAGCTCTGGCTTTAGCAACAAAGAAGGAGGTGGATGTGAGCCTGATGCCATCCAAGATTGAGTGACCAATCCTAACTCTAGTCTCAGTTATATCATGCATAGTAGTCAAACAAGACAGGGTAAATTTGAAGATTTTTGTATGAGCCATGTGTTGGGAGCATATGTTGTGATTTAAGATGTGCATGCGCTATTCACTAGACCACCAAACATAGTTTGAATTTTGTGATAATCTGATGATCTTTATAGGCAAAATTATGTAGGACGGAGTGCGCTGTCTACTTGTAGCCTGCTAAATACTGTTTGTAACATCAGTTAGAGCAAAACACTTGGTTTATTTCACTCTCCTTTTGTACTGACATACAGCTGCTCTTTAATACCATTATACAGCTGCTTGTTGTCACGTCAACTATAATTAAAAAACACACAAACAGTGTTTAGTTATTACATGATAAACAACTTCACTGGATGTAATACAACAAACCCTAGAAAACTACCCCCAAAACAGTGCAGAAACTAAGGAAATAAACAGCAGTGAGGAATAAACCCGTCACGAGAGGGCGCTGTTGCATAAAAATGGCGAGCGTGATGGTCTGACCTAAAGCACTGCAACGATATTAGAAATAATATGTGTCACATGTGCAGTAAAAAGGACCCTATTTAACCCCCTTAGATTAATATTAAAACCTTCCATAATAGAATCATTCTGACAATTAAAGACAAATGAAAAGACCTTACCGCTGGTGCGGGATCCAGGGTCCTACAACTAGACAAAATGAGTGATTTGTTGCCCAGCGTATGGTGTGAAAACTTATACAAAAACTTATCTGATCCCTTCTACTCGTACTCTTGTTGCATGAAGCACACCCTCTGTAGATTACTTGAAGAGAGTCTGATTAAACCGTAACATCCCGGCTCCCTAATTGCAGGACGAAAGGTCAGGAGCAATTATTTACAATGAT